ATTTTTAAAACCATTGGTGTCTAAATCCATCTAATAGAAATGCAGACTGGAGCTCTTTAATGAGGCATAAGTCAATCCTGGCTCTCTTTTTTTATAAGACAAAACCACCTCACACACTGGCTTCTTTTTCTTTTTCTGCTTTGCATTTCTACACACTCATCATAGCATGAAGCCTCTGACAAAAGGAAATAAGAAAAGACTGTTTAAGAGACGTGTTGCTGTGCTTAAACCTGAACTTTTGCAAAGGGAAAACCCTGGGCTTCAGCAAGTGAGGCTGTGTGATGGCAGAAAGGAGAAATAAAAATGATAATGCTGAGTAAGTTTAGTGTAGTTGTGAATTGTAGAGACAGGAGCTCTTATGAAGGGAAATATTTCCAGTTTTGCTCCTTGCCTTTGCAAAATCGCAAAATCACAAAATTCAGGTGATGATTGGAAGTTTTTTGCCACCAAAAAATCTTCATTTGCTGGTTAAGGCAGTGGTCAAGGCCATGAGCAGCAGCATTTGGGTTGTCTCTGATTTTGGGGGCTTTGTGAGGCAATGGCTTTGCTGCAGGAACAGCAGAGAAATAAAAATGATAATGCTGAGTAACTTTAGTGTAGTTGTGAATTGTACAGCAAAGAACAGGAGCTCTCAGGAAGGGAAATATTTCCAGTTTTGCTCCTTGCCTTTGCAAAACTGCAAAATCACAAAATTCAAGTGATGGTTGGAAGTTTTTTGCCACCAAAAAATCTTAATTTGTTAGGTAAGCCAGTGGTCAAAGCCATGAGCAGCAGCATTTGGGTTGTCTCTGATTTTGGGGGCATTGGGAGGCAATGGCTTTGCTGCAGGAGCAGCAGAGAAATAAAAATGATAATGCTGAGTAAGTTTAGTGCAGTTGTGAATTGTACAGCAAAGGAGGAGCTCTTTAGAAGGGAAATATTTCCAGTTTTGCTTCTTGCCTTTGCAAAATCACAAAATTCAAGCGATAGTTGGAAGATTTTTGCCACCAAAAAATCTTCATTTGCTGGTTAAGGCAGTGGTCAAGGCCATGAGCAGCAGCTTTTGGGTTGTCTCTGATTTTGGGGGCTCTGGGAGGCAATGGCTTTGCTGCAGGCACAGCTCAGCTCAGCTGCTCACTGAGGTCCTGTGGCTGTGGTTTGACAGCTGAAGTCAGAGCTCGCTGTGAAATCAGACTCTGCTCGCACATGGCTGTGGCTGGCTGTGAAATCCTCAGTGGTTCTGGCACTGACAGTGCCTGGCCTCGCACAGCTGGCCCAGAGTGGGGGAAAAAAGGAGATTTGCTGGGTTTGGAACAGCCCCATCCTTTTCTCATGGGTTGGTCCTGCATGGTCGGTGTGGTGACAAGGCCCAAGTTGGGGTCCCAGGCTCCTTTTGCTAGAGAGGACCCAAAACTTGTCTCACCAGGTTTATGGAGGAAGGGAAGGAGGAGAAGGGAGCCTTAGCAACTCCAGGCTGTGATCCAGGACTGAAAGCCAGAGGTTCTCAGGATCGCTGTGGGTCACAGTGAGATGAGTTCCAAAGTCTCTTTTCCCAGCCTGGTGGTGGAAGAAGGAGTCAGAGCACTTCAGTTCTCGGTCTCAAGGTTGTTTATTGTTTCTTATCTATAAAATTCTTTCTCCTGTCCTGCTGAGGTCCATCCAGCAGGACAGTTCCAGGCACTCTGCCTGCCCCTGGGGTGGTGTTATCTTTTTATACTAAAAACCACATGACATTATTTACAATAACTTCCCAATACCTTTCACCTATGTTAGACAGTGAGCTCCTACTCTAAACCAATCCAGAAGTGCCAACATCACAGCAGAAGATGGAGGCCAAGAAGAAGAAGGAGAAAGGCTGGACATGCCCAGATCCCTCCATCTTGCCTCCTGAACCCCCATTCTAAAAACCCCAAAAATCTATTTTTCACCCCGTGATAAATTCACTGTCATTCTACTTAAACTGTTGTGGCTTGCAGATCTTCGTGTAAGGTTGGTAAATTTTTCCATGGGTCATAATCAAAACCACAGGTGTCTTGGGCTGTGTGCCAGGGTCTCTGAGCCCCCTGGCAGGGGTCTGGGTAATCCAGGACAGCCAGAGGGATGTCCTGAGTTCAGACAAGAGGTTTTGTGTACAGAACAATAGATCTGTAAGACAGAACATGAAGATGTTGATGAGATTTCTGAAATGCTGGCCCACGAAAAAAGTTTCTGAGAGAACGTAGTCAGAGAGTCAGAGCTGTGATTTTTAATTGAAAAAATTTCTTTCTGCAGGCAGTCAAACTTTGAGATTTAGCGAGGCTTTGCATACTGACAGGCTGCTCACTCACTCGCAGTCACAGGAGCACAACGATAAATTATTTAATTACAGACACCCAAAGAAGCGAACCAGGCGCCCGCTGGGCTGTGTTGTCCCTCTGCTCCCCCACCTTGCAGGGTTTCTTGCTGGCTGATTCCCAAAATGCAGCTGTTTGCAGCAGTGCTCTCACAGTTATCAATGCTAATTAGCAAGGTTTGCTCTGTGAGTGTTCCTGCGCACACACAGAGTGCTCTCAGCTCCTCAGCCGTGTAACGAGCGTGCGCTCAGCCCCGTGGTTAATTAGCAGCATCCCTCCAAGGGCCTGTGCTCCTCCTGGGGATGGGGGTTTGGTGTGGAGCTGCCTGAGGTGGTCAGAGCCAGTCCCTGCCGAGACTCTCGTGCAGCCTCTGCCACAGCTGGGCTGTCAGCTTGTTGCCCTTTGTTTTAATCCCTGTGCACTCTCCTTGCTAAGCAGCACGGTTGCTAAGGTTAGTTCTTTCCAGGTTTGCCATTAGAACCTTGTTTTAATCAGTGCCGACAAAATCCTGGCTGGATCTGTGCTCCAGGTAGGGGTCAGGTTTAAGAGTTGTTCAGAAAGCTTTGATGCTACAGGAACATGGTGCTCCTTGTGCTGACAACAGTTTTGTGTCTCTGCCTCTTAATAACCACTCTGTAGTAACACCTTCTTCCTGGATTTGCAAAACAGCTCAATTCTGAAGAAATTTCCTCCTGAAAATGTGGAAGTGCAGTTTGTTCTTGGCAAATCCAACTGGGGCTTTATTACAGCTCTGATTTAATATCCTTGGTGATGGAATGCTCCTGTTGTGGGGGAAACATCTCTGAGAGGTGATTCTCTCTGCAGGACAACATTTCCTTCTTATTTTTTTTAACACTGAAAGCAATAGAAAGGGAAGAAGCTGATAAATAATATGACTATAAATGAGAACCAAATTGTACTTTAATTTTTATGGATGTTCATGATAGAAAAGCAACGTGAGATCAGGAGGTCTTTCCAGAAGAGGAGGGCTGCTCTTAAATATCTCTGCTTTGTCCCTGGGTTTATGTGTTCAGTATCATCCAGAAAACTCTTGGTTTTGCATTTGACTGTAATTTGCATTTAGATTGGCTGCCTGAAGGGAGCCTCTTGCAGGGGAGATGGGGCTGTGTGGCCCCAGTCTCTCACAGATCTGGCTGGAAGTAATGGCATTTACATAAAAACCATTAGCTCTGTTATTGATAAACATGAAAGGCATCCATTTCATTTAATTTTTTGATGAAGAGCTTTTAATATAAGCACACAATAGCACTGAGGTAGTAACATTCCTGCCCCCCCATCCCTCTGTACTGACCTCTTGTTTTAAGGGCAAGCTTTGATTGGGATTTTGTTGGTGGAGAGATGGGAAGTTATTTCTATTCCAATTTACTGGAGTAGCCAGTTGTTGTGCTACATTGTGGGGAATTATTTAATGCTCATTTGAAGAGGTGTCTCTATTAATTGAACGGGGATTTAATGTCTCCCTGAAGCACAGTTGGTCTGTGTGTGATGTATACCAACATGTACTGCTGGCAATTCTATGGATAATCTTTTCCTTAATCAAAATGGGTTTAAGCAGAACTTCATTAAGGGGATAAAGTGTGTTGAAACAACAAATATATTAAAGGGAACTTCTTTGGTGCACTCCAGATCACAGCCCATGCAACCCTTCAGCACCGTGGCTGCACAAACGTTTGTTCCCCTGCGTGTGTAATGGTGCTTTGGGGACCAGGAGTGTCACAAAGAGCTGTGATTCACTGCCTCTGGAGCCACTGGCTTTGGGAAGCTCTTGCTGCTGCTCTCACATATAAATACTCAGCTTTTCTCCTGGGCTGCCTCAGGTCTGACCTCAGCAGCCTCCAGAGGCAGCCGGTGCTGCAGTTGTTTTCAAGCATCACAGCATTTACTCACTGAGAGCTTTGCAGGTGCTGTGAGTGCCTGACCTCAGAGCTGGGGAGGTGAGGGTGCCTGTTTTGCATTGATTACCTGGCCTGCTTCTTTTTGGGAACCCAGGACATCCCTCTGGCTGTCCTGAAGTAGCCCAGACCCCTGCCAGGGGGCTCAGAGACCCTGGCACAGAGCCCAAAATGCCCCTGTGGTTTTGATTATGACCTGTGGAGCAAATTACCAACCTTATATGAAGATTTGCAAGCCGCGACAAATTAAGTAGAATGAGACTGAATTTATCACAAGGTGAAAAAGTAGATTTTGGAGGTTTTAGAATGGGGGTTCAGGGGGCAAGATGGAGGGATCTGGGCATGTCCAGCCTTTCTCCTTCTTCTTCTTGGCCTCCATCTTCTGCTGTGATGGTGGCACTTACAGATTGGTTTAGAGTAGAAGCTCACTGTCTAACATAGGTGATAGGTATTGTAAATATTGTACATATAGTTTTTAGTATAAAAAGATAACACCACCCCAGGGGCAGGCAGAGTGCCTGGAACTGTCCTGCTGGATGGACCTCAGCAGGACAGGAGAAAGAATTTTATAGATAAGAAACAATAAACAACCTTGAGAATGAGAAATGAAGAGCTCTGACTCCTTCTTCCACCACCAGGCTGGGAAAAGAGACTTTGGAGCTCTTCTCGGGGTCACTCTGGCAAACTAGAGACCCTGACACTTCTTGATGTAAAAAATCTGTTAAAAATTTTGGTCACTTTATCTATATTTACAGCTCTTTTTCCTCTCTAACAGGCTCCAGACAGATGAGTAGAGAGCTGGCTGCAGAAGAGGGACAGATTCCAGCTTGCCAGCTGCTCACCGTGTACAGTGAGTACCTTCATATTTCAGGAATAAAACTTTCTGTGGTGCCTGATGTCAGCCTCAAATTGCCTCCATTGGGGCACAGCATTAAGTCTGCATGCTTGGACAGTGTTTCCCTAAAAGTACAAGCTTCCTTGGCTTAACTCTTGTTTTGGGAGAAGCTGTGCTCCAGTTTTACCTGAAGTGGTAAATTGTGTCCTCGTCCCACTTGCAGCAGTGGCAGAGCAGAGAACTGCTGCAGTTCTGCTCAGGGCTGTGGGGAATCAGCTCTAAAGGTGTCACCTGAGGCTTCCTGTGTGGATCAGGAGTGGAAATGCTCCCCAGGGCTCTTCCAGCCTTGCTGGAGGTGCTGGAGCTGAGTGAGGAGGGTGGATGAGGTTCCTGCCACGGCACATGCCGGGATTGCTCATAAATGAGTGCTATGAAATCAGCCAAATGAGGCTTGGCTGGGCTGGTGGGTGGAAAACAGCAGGAATAAACCACTGGAAAGCATTGGCCAGTCCATGGTAAGGATGGCAGGTTTGCCCTGAAAGTGGAGGAGAAAATCTGTATTTCATGGGGAATTTTTACACATTAAAATGTCTTGCATGCGTGTTAATGGGCTGTAATAACAAGCCTGTGCTTTATGAGGTGTCTGCAAACATCTTAGAACTCGCAACTGTGAGGGAGTAAATACTCCAGCTAGTAAATTCTGAGTAATTGGAATGTCTTGGCCCATGTGGTGTGGCCCGACTGAAATAGGGAATTGCCTCTGAAAGGCAGGAGGATGCTCTAGCACAGGCTGTAAAATGCAGGTGAGTGTGGGAGCTGCAGGAATTGAGTTTATTGTGACAGTCCTGGCAGGTGATTCCCTAAGGATCATGTGGGATGATGAATCTTGAAACTGAAAGTGTTTGTTAACAAAAGTCAGGGATGAAATAATGCATTTAGAGGCTGGGTTGTGTCATCAGGTTGGTGTGGATGTACCCAGGGAGCAGGGCAGAGAATTCCTGTGCTTCTGGGAAAGAAGGGAAAGAGAAGCAAACTTATTTGTGGCTTTCTCATTTCTCCCATACCCAACCAGTACATGCAGGGGGTCCTGGGCTCAGGTGTCTGTTCCTGTGTATTACAGCATTTTTGTACTTCTGGATCCAGGAAATGTTTGTGCTCTGCCAAACACAGCAGGGACTCCCCTCAGCTGGAACACAGCTCCTGTGAAAAATTCCACAGTGAATAACAGGACTGGGAGCAGCACTGGGGGCACGTGAAGGACAAACCAGGCTGGTATTGACCACCACTGTGCCAAGGCTCTCATCGACAGCTCTGATCCCAGGCTGTGCTCTGAGCCAGAGCTGCTGACTTGAGGAGCTGCAGTCAGTCAATACCATTGAATTCTCCTTCTCTTTTGCATATCTTAAAGGGGAGGGAGTCTCAGGCTGACAGCTGTGCAGTCTGCACAAGGCCAGGGCTGCACAGCTTTCCCCCAGTGCTGGGATCTCTAGCTTGTCAGAGTGACCCCAAGAAAAGTTCCAAAGTCTCTTTTCCCAGCCCAGTGCTTGAAGAAGGAGTCAGAGCTCTTCATTTCTCATTCTCAAGGTTGTTTATTGTTTCTTGTCTATAAAATTCTTCCTCCTGCCCTGCTGAGGTCCATCCAGCAGGACAGTTCAGGCACTCTGCCTGCCCTCAGAGCAGTGTTATGTCTTTATACTAAAAACTACATGTACAATGTTTACAATAACTTCCCAATACCTATCACCTATGTTAGAGTGAGCTTCTACTCTAAACCAATCTGTAAGTGTCACCATCACAGCAGAAAATGGAGATCAAGGAGAAGGAGAAAGGCTGGACATGCCCAGATCCCTCCATCTTGCCTCCTGAGCCCCCACACCAAAAACCCCAAAAATCTGCTTTTCCACCCTGTGATAACTTCACTATTATTTTACCTAAACTGTTGTGGCTTGCTGATCTTCATCTAAGGTTGGTAATTTGCTCCATGGGTCATAATCAAACCCACAGGTGTTTAGGGCTCTGTGCCAGGGTCTCTGAGCCCCCTGGCAGGGGTCCTGGCCATCCTGGACAGCCAGAGGGATGTTCTGGGTTCCCACACCCCAGGACATCATTTGACCTGTGCAACAGTTATTGTCCTGCTGCGGTGTGCAGCAGGTTCTGCATTGACCTTCAGGAGCCATTCTGGGTTAGTGGGGCTGGTGCCCAGAGGAATGAATGCAGGAGACAAGGATTTCATGTTTGGAGTCCTTTTTAGGGTGGAAGACTGTGATTAAAGCAAGGAGTATGGATTGAGGTCAGTAGGAGATAGCTGAGCAAAGGGCAGGGAGCTGGAATAGAGGAGATGCTGGAAACTGTCTGTGATTGCCATGGAGCAGAATGGCAAAATAACCTGTGTCAAGGGGCTCCTCAACAAGCCATTCTTATGCAAAACTCTCTCCATGACACTAAATATCTAAATAACTGGGTTGGGCCTGGAATCTAAAAATACTTTTGGGAGAATCATCTTCAAACACCTCCTGAGACTTCCTGGCTTGGCAGCAAAGCCAAGTTCTGCAGGAGTTTTGTAGCAGGTCCCTTCCTGTGAGGATGTGGCATCAGCGTGGGTTTGATGCTTCCTGTGCTTCACAGCTGCAGTGGAGAGGGGCTGGGGGAGAGAGAACACGCGGGCATGGCAGGGAGGGTTTGTGCTGCCTGTACAGGTGGAATTCCTGCTCACAGCTGCTGTTCCCCTCAGAAGATGCTGGAGACTTTTTAAAAACTCAGGATGTGGCAAACAAACACCTGAGCTGGGTGAGGCTGGGTCTGTCCTGTCTCCAGCCATGGCAGCAGGAATGTTCTTCATGTCCCATCAGTTTATTCAGCTCTTGTGCTTTCAGCCTCTGTCCAGGCATTTCAGATTTTAATTTTGTGTGGTGAATGACTTCCTTTTGGTAACTACACCTACTGCCAGCTCATGTTTGGGCAATTGTCATTTGCATTAAAATTCTGTAAATCCCTACTGTGTCCCATGTCAAAGGACTCTTTTCCAGACTGAAATGTCCTAATTGATTCAGTGGTCCTTACAGAGATGCTTCATGCTTTTGACTATCTTTACTATATTCACTATTTCCAATTTCTTGGTCATTTTTTCTCCTCTTGAGTGTTCTTATTAGCAAATTGAAAGAACCTTTGGGTTTTTGAGGTTCTGTCCTTTTGCTGCAGTTCTCTGTATATTTAGCCATAGAAAGAAACCAGGAGTTTTGATGCTCCATGTAATAAATAAGCCATAGCCTTTATTTATTTATTTATTTATTTATTTATTTATTTATATTTCTAAAAAGCAGAGATTGGTGTGTCTAATCTAAAAACTCTGTCAGAAAAGCTATGAATAAACCTGATAGCATTGCAGTGCACTGAGTCACTGGAACAATACATTGTTGACAAGGAGCCCTGGCAGGGTTGTGTGGCTTTTTGCTAAAGCTGTCAGCCAGGATATGGGATGCATCTTTGTATCCTGCAGCAATTTTGTGAAACTAAATGGCTGCTGGTGTCTACTGCATCTTCTAAATGATGACAGGAATCATTCTGGGTGTTAAACACTCTGCCCCTCTGCATTGGTTTAGAAATTATATCCAAATGCAGAATTGGTCTTATTTAGGTAAATATAAATCAGTCATCAAACAGGTGCTGGTTCTGCAAGGGCAGGGCCTGGCTCTCCATCTCCTCTGCTCTGCATCAATGATTTTTATTTTATTAGTGGCTTCCAAAAAGCAGAACTGGAATGTGATGTGATTGAAGTGTTAACACCAGGGCTGCAGTCCCAGGGGCTGACAAGTCTGTGGTTTTCTCTATCTGCCCTGACTCACATCCGTGGCTTTTGTGCTGCCCTGAGGTGAGTCAGGGCTCCCCAGGGCTGAATAAAGCCCTGCCCTGTGGGCAGCCTGGGAAACCTGGGCCTTTTTCAGCTGAGAACTCTTGGATGTTTTCCCCAGTGCTGAATCACAGCTCCTGGACCATCCAGGGCAGTTTTTTCCCCACTGTTCAGCTTTATCTTCCACCACTGTGCTTTTCTTCTTTCCTCTCTGCTGCCTTTAGCCCCAAAGAGCTCCCAGCTCTGTCTGTGCTCCACTGTGGCTTCTGTTCTGCACAGGGAACCCAAAGGACCAAATCCTTGTGGCAGTTCTCTCCCAAAGCAGCTGATTTCTGCAGCACAATCATTCATTGCACAGATCTGTCAATGAAACACCAAGAGCTCCCCAAAGCCTCACCTTGGCCTGCCAAGATGTGTCACCTGTGCCTCAAGCAGCTGGGGAGTCCTCCTGGACAGGGGACACCATAAGGAGGAGAGGGAGAGAAACACATCCAGAAACTCTAGGGTGACTTTTTGTCACTCCTCAGAGTGTCCCAGCTCCTGCTTGTGGGTGAAGGATGGAGGTTTTTTAGTATTCCTTCCTTTCATATCTATATCTAATCTGTCTATATCTATATCTATATATCTATATCTATATCTATATCTGTATCTCTATATTTGTATTTATATCTATATCTAATATCTATATAATCTATATCTATATTTGTATTTATTTGTATCTATATCTCTATCTCTATCTCTATCTCTATCTATATCTATATCTATATCATCTATATCTATATCTATATCTATATCTATATATTTGTATTTATTTATATCTATATCTAATATCTGTATAATCTATATCTATATTTGTATTTATCTATCTATATCTATCTACATCTATAATATCTAATAATCTATATCTATATCTATATTAGTGTTTATTTAAATATATATCTATATTTGTATCTAATATCTATATAATCTATATCTATATTTGTATTTATTTATATTTATATCTCTATCTCTATCTCTCTATCTATCTCTATCTATAATATCTAATAATCTATATCTATTTGTATATATCTATATCTATATCTATATCTATATCTATATCTATATCTATATCTAATATATATAATCTCTATATATATTTGTATTTATTTATATTTATATCTATATAATC